AGACTGACCTGTTGAGTGCAGCATGTCAGTGGCGGGGAGCATAAGGGCAGGCGCTAACCTTGAAAAAAAAGAAAAAGGTATGTTCTATTCGAATACAATAGTTTTTGCTTTTTGAAATTGGAATAGAGAGGATACTCGTTGTATTCGAATACATGTATGCGGTCTACTCAAAGTGAGCCTCTATTCGGGAAACGTGGACCCTCGCCGTTTCAATTGTGAAATGTTCAACTCAAGGACCGCGGCCCCCTGAGCCTCCTACGGGCAGCTACCAGTCCTCCGCAATGAACGACTGCCCGTTCCCCATGAATTCCTCCCTCCCTCCCCCAAATTTCACTGCCCTTCCAATTGCCAATTGGACCCGGCGGCAACCCAGACGGGCTGCAAACTTTGCCTACTCTCAACTCCCTCCCCACTGGACTTAGGTCGTTTTTGTGGTGATTGGCCACCCTTGTTCGGTTTTGGTGAGTGCTGTGACGAGGCCCTATGCTGGTTGGGCTTACGTGGTGCGATGCCCTCCCCTCCCACCTCGGCAAGCATGACGCGCTCAGCTCAAGAAATGGTCCCAAAGAAAAAAAGAAAAGAGGACGAAGCGTGCTCTTCGATGGGGCCATGAAGCGCCACGCCAACGCCCCGCCACAATGAGCCACGACGACGAGCCAACTGCCACGTTGCAAATTTAGGGCATACGTATGCGCACGCAAGCTCGAACATGCGGTCGGTGCATCCCGTCGTGGTCGAGAGTAGTGCAGCGAGGCCCAGTATCGTTCGTGCAAGCATGTGCCCCGCGGAAAGGGTGAACCGCATCGTCCCAGCCCCCCAAAAGGAAGGAATATTCTGAAAAAAAAAAAAGAAAAAAGAGGAAAAAAACCCCCCTCCTCGCCACACGGTAACTACAACTGCAAAATGTAGACCGTATCTGCGGGGAGAACGTGGAAGTATACATCCCCCATAGATTTTGTCTTCTTCATTTTTTTATTTTTATTTTTTTAATTTTTTTTATTTTTTCGTGATCAGTGTCGCAGCCGAAGTCTATTGAGAGAAGAAGCCACAGTGTACGTCCACACCGACGCGCTCACCGAACTGAGCGCGTCGGTGTGGCCGTACACTATGGCTTCTTCTCAGTTGGTACACCCCCGGACAGTTGAAAGTGAATGAAATACAGACCGTAGTTCGAATCCTGATCCAATGGGCCTCGCCGCACCACTCTCGAAATGTCAAAAAGACAACGCTACCGTCTTCACCCGAATAGAACGCCCGCTCGTTATCACTGTATCTAGACTGAAAGATGCACCAAATACAGCTATAATCACCGGGCGTTTTTTCGGGCTAAGAAGGTAGTGCATCTGGCCAAATACAGCTATAATCACCGGGGTACCAAAAGACCAAAACTTTTGGCCCCACCGCAAGTAGCTCCCCCCCCGCCTTCGGCAGCTCACCGGCGGTACTTGGTGCCCGACCCGCCAGGGCCAAGTCCCACCACTAGATGGTGTTCTTCTTTTTTTCTGGCCATGGATCTGTGTACTCCCGCCACACTCGACGGTCAAAAATGAAGAACACACGCCAGTGGGACCTTGACCCCGCCGTCGTGGCAACTACTGCCGCGGAGTTTTTTTTTTTTTTGTTTTTTTTTTTTTTTTCTGCCGCGGAGTTTCATACACCCGCCGACCGACTGAGCGCGCACTCGCACTGAGGTAGCACGGTCTTAAATGTACCTGACCGCATTTACGTCCAAACTTCGACGCACATGGTCGTAATTGCGCCCAAAAGTAAGTAAAAAAGTGCTACCGGTAGTGTCAGTATGCCCTGAGGAAAAAAAACAGAAGGGTATGCCCTGAGGAGTGGTACGCGGCAACTTCATTGATGTTGGTTGGGCCGCCATAGCTGCTAGCTAAGGGCCTCGCCACACCACTCTCGAAAAGTGAAAAAGACAAAAATGTGGCGGGTGAATCTGGACATATTCTAAGGGGAAGTTCATTCTCATTTTGCACATTTCGAGAGTGGTGTAGCGAGCCCCTAACTCAGGGAGAGGAGAGAGACGGCGTGGGCATTGACGGTGCCGACACCTAATAAAAGAAAGAAACGCCAATGAAGGCGCCGTGAAGACAGTCGCCAGGGGAACAACCAGTCGCGGCGCTATCGCCGGATTTGCCGCCTTCGCAGCAGAACTAGAGAGAAGTAGAACAGGCGACACAGTCGACAGTACCAACCAATAGCCAATAGCCAATAGCCAAGGAGCAAGGTGTATTGGGGGGAGGAGAATAGACAGTAGAGCGTAGTCTAAGCAATCGAGCAAGCAGTGTAGGATAGCTCATAGCCAGTAGTCGGAAGTCGCTGGAAGCCAATAGCCGCCGGGGAAGGCCAAAAAACAAGCGGGAAGAATCGCCATAGCTATTTTTACCCTATCTGTGTTGTCCGCCATTGCCATTTAGCAGTGAGCTAGAGTGGGCGGGGGGCACCGGGGCATCGGGGCAGTCGATTCCGGTGCGGCGGCGATCATAGTAGGGGGAGGGGGGAAGGAGGAGGAGGAGGAGGAGGAAGAAGAGGAGGAGGAGGGAAATGGCGCTTCAGTGGATCGCCGTTGCGAGCATTACCGCGTTAGAGCTGCTCTTGCTTGTCGTGGTGTCTATACCGCTGCCGAGGAAGCTCCGTCTGCGAGTGGCCAAGGTTGTGGAAGGACTCTGGAGGCCGATCTTTGCAGTCATCCCCTTCATGGTCTTTCAACTAGCAGGTGAGAGTCTCTCTCTCTCTCTCTCTCTCTCTCTCTCTCTCTCTCTCTCTCTCTCTCTCTCTCTCTCTCTCTCTCTCTCTCTCTTTCTTTTCCGTTCCCCTTTCTTCCTTCCTCAGACCCACCTCCCTCTCTGGACTTACCTCCTCCCCCGCCCGCCCCTTCACGCTTGTTTACAGCGCTGATTGCAGAGCTCTCTTCGCCTGTCACTGGCACACGCGCAAATACACGAAAGAGAGAGAGAGAGAGAGAGAGAGAGAGAGAGAGAGAGAGAGAGAGAGAGAGAGAGAGAGAGAGAGAGAGAGAGAGAGAGAGAGATGAAACAGGCGATGGCAGAGGGAAAAGAAACATTTACGTACGGCAAGAATCAGTCTTATATTAGGGTAGGAGTTAACTTTTCGTGACTTACAGGATGTTTGAAGATGGCCACCCTGAATAGCAGTGTAAATGCATTGGAATGCAGTTACGCAGCATAGTACCGGGTTTGTCTGACCGCAATTCTGGGTTGATTCTGTGGAAAAGGTCGTCTGTTGAAAAGGTACTCCTCGTGACTAGCAGAGCTGCTTATGCATATTGGAATGTCGAGAGGGTGTACGTTGTGGTCGAGCGTTCGTTATCAATGTGCGTCCACATATTTTTATTTATTGCATTCTGTATGTACTATTTGTAACATTGCGGCGGTAAGGACAGCGTTCGATCTTCGGTAGTGATGCGTCCTCTTAGGTCCTCTTTGATGTATCGTCGCCCGAAATCGATTTGGTGAACCTTCCATTGATCCTTCTAAATGCAGTGTCGCCCGCGCGTGCGCTTGCGTACCCCAGAGAGAGAGAGAGAGAGAGAGAGAGAGAGAGAGAGAGAGAGAGAGAGAGAGAGAGAGAGAGAGAGA